TAATCGATAGATAATTAAGAAAAAAGCGTTTTTATACCAGATTTGTTGACCATGGGCAAACTTCAAAAGCCGCATTCATTCGAAATAGGCCACGCTTTTCCTTTTCAAGAATTGATTTTGAAAACTTTGATTCGGCGCACAATCGAGAGATTTTTACGAATGTCAACAAATAATTGAAAAGACTTCTCCATACTCAATATAGTAAGTCAAATGTTCTGCTTATTCTACAGATACTGTCACTTTCTTGGATCTTCGTTCAATTTTTCAAGCCTGCTGGACTGTCATTTCAAAATGGTAAGAGATGTCTATGAAAACTTGCTGCTGCATTGTTGTCATATTGTAAAATGAAGGTTTGAACCTTTTGTGCCGCATTTTCCCCAAAAGCATGACTTTTTTCCATGGCCTGTATGCATTTATTCTCCTTTGTGATGGCCATTCAAAATCCGTCTGTTACTGAAAAAGCAGTAGTATTTAACATACAATACTCTCATGTGAAGTGTTGACATGATTTCATTCCACAACCTCATTATTTAAAAGGTTGAGACTCTGAACAAAATTTTTGACCAAGTTAAAAATATAAGGATTATTTTTTTCATTTAATATAGAATCAATTGCATGTATTCTGCCTTGGGTAAGTGAGGCTGAATTAGTTATTCATTTGAATTGTGAAATGGATTACCAGTACTGTACAAACAAGTACTTGGTTACATAAATAAAAATTAAATTGGAACTTTTGTAGGGTAAAAACTTGCAGCTTAAATCCATTCTTCTTGTTTCATCAACACAAATGAACAATATTTTAATTGCTGGCAAGAGGCAGGATTTGAACACATGCAGGCAGAATCAAATATGTCTCATCAAAGAAATCCTTAAAAATGCAATGCTAGGATTTGTGTTGGTGAAACTTGCCGCTGTCTGACTTGCAGCCCACTCAACTTGCCACAAGCTGTTGAACTTGCTGCTTTACTACTTGCTGCACTGTTAACTTGCCAGATGTCCAGTTTTATTCTGTGGATTGTATTTTCTTTTATTTTTGTCATCAATTTGTGCTTTGTTTCCTGCTTTGAAGTGATTGAATGTCTTTGAGGGGATTTGGGTTGGGTGGGGAAGGGGTTTGGATGTGGAAATCTTGATTGTACCTTGTGAACGCTGAAAAGAGGCAAATGAAGTGTTCTGTTCATTCATTCATTCACCATTAACTTGCTGCTGTGATTAGTCACTGCAGGTGGAAGTTGCTACTGCAACAATTCACTGCTGTATAGTGACTTGCCAAAATCACAACTTGATGCATGAATTTTATTGAGTTCACTTGCTGGATTTTTCTCCCCTCACTTGCCACAATTTTTTTCTCTGAAAATTAAACTATTTGTTTTCTTCCTTCAGGAAAACAATGAATTCCAATATTCTTACACTTCTTTACTCTGCATATTGATTACTACATTTATATGATATACATTTCTCCTGTTCAGGAAGGTTTTCAACAAATTTGAAATATCTAGTATGAGGAGTGCAATGCACAAGGAAGAGCAGTTTGGTGGCAAGGTTTTTTAAAACTTTTATTGTATTTTACAGTACTATATTTCCCTTTTGTACAATTGCAAACATGTTCTGCTGTGAATAAAACATACAAAATTAAGAACTGTCTGAATTATTGAGTACAGCAAGTTTCCACAGTGGCAACTTGTAACTGCTGCAAGTTGTGACTGCAGTGAGAAAAGATTGTGGCACCTTGTTTCAAGGGCAACTTGTTACTGCAGCCAGTTCAGGCTGCAGTCTCTTTATTGCTGCAGTGACAAGTTAGGGTGCAGCAAGTTCAACTGCAGCAAATTTCACCTGCACCTCTGGGATTTCATCCAAATTAAAGCATTCAAGTGAAACATATGATGGAGCATACAAATGTTGATGGCTTCTAAAAAAAAAAAAAAAACTAGGCATCAACTGGTCAGGATTTTTGGACTTCCCTGGTTAATATAATAAAGTATACAGCTTCATTGTCAACGAACCTGTGGCTCCCAATTACTGAGAAAAATTTCAAGAAGCTGACTGAACTACAGTATACCGTATATATATGCACATCATGGTTTGTTTGGAGGTTATTTGTTTTCTCCTTTCTTCTTTGACTTTTTTTGGCCTTCTGCTTTAGACAATTTACATAGAAGGCAATGAAGGCGACCGCGATAAAAACAGCACTTCATAATCTAGTATCAACGTTAATCGTCTTGGCGTCCCCAGGAGCCAAATCACAACTTTTTCCTCTTGTTCGAGTGAAAGTGTCCATCAGTTCGTACGTCCGACATAACATTCTTATTCAAATCGGAATAATATGTTATCTTGATGGCTCTAGCACCGGTTGAGATGCCGCTGCATCATCTTTGATTTATTCTTCGTGCAGTAAAAAATAATAATAATAATAGTAAAAATAAGATTTAATTTACATTGCGCCATGTCATACTGAATAAAAGAAGAGCAAGGTGAGTTATGTGATGGATCGAGGGAAGGCTCTCTTTTTTTTTGTGCCCGCTAATGGCGGAAAAGGAAGAATGCAGCTTGGGGCCAACTAAATTGCTTTCCAAGCTGCATCAGTAACTTCACAAAACGGGTTCCGGAATTTTGTAGAAATAACTAGAGGAAGTCGTCTTTGGAAATTCAATTCGATGTTGTGATTTGTTTTTCAAAAAATTTGATTTGCAGAGTCCTTTCTGAATTAATTTTATAGGATAGCTCAAAATATATTTAAAAATTAATCTTGGTCTACTGTACACAGGTGGTACCTTGCAATTTGACATCCAGCAATTTTACCATCCTGCAATTTGAGTTGACAATCAAATTTGCAGGGAGGTTGACTTTCAATTTGACCCTTGCCCCGCAGTTTGACCTGCTGCTTTTTCAATTTTTTGTATTTTTTAAACTTATATTTCGAATGTGATAGTCTGATAGAGTGTTTTTAAATTTGACTGCTTCACAATTTGACCCTAGTTTGGCAATGGATTATTGCAAGGTACCACCAGTATTTCAGCTCATGCAGAATGGGTTAACATCAAAGGGCCAAAAAAAGCAAAGGCTTTCTTTTCTTCCAGAGAATGACTTCAAAGACACAACTGTTTTCAAGCAAAATTGTTGAAAAGATTTTGATTTCGATAAATTCTCAAACATTGTTGATTCAAGCTCACGGAAGCACTGCGATCCATATCAAGGTGAGAAATGAGTCGGTTTTGAAGATAATTTTGGTTTTCCCATTTAATTTCGGGTAATTTGGCGGATATCTGAAGTAGCGTGAAGGCCGAATAAATTAAACTTTACGTGGCCTATTCTCGAGTACTTCAAACAGTATAGGCCACAGGAGTTTTTTACCATGTACGGACTTATTCTGAGAAAAATGTGGTTTATGTTCGCATTTATTCTGGTTTTTTTGTTTTGTTTTGTCAGCCATGTACTTCTCGCAGTTTTTTGTCTCGCAAAAACGCCAATGATTTATACTATCTTTCTTAAATTTCCAATTGTATACTTGCATACAAAGAGCTCATGTTGAGCATATTTTTAAGAAATTTTCTTGACAAAAATGTTTATACTTCGCTCTGTGTGGGAAAGTTAGAAAGATATTTTGACAGGCAACTGTTTTCTGCGTTTGTTGGTGTGAGACTGAATTTATTTTTCCCACATTAAAGAGATAAAATTTGACAAATAATAAATGAAATAATAATATACAGTAATAACTAATTGCTGATGAGACCAGCACCTGCTGGCGCAAAAGCATGCATCATTCCAACGGATTGAAAAAAATGTCGATGAAAATGAATTCAATTCTATCGAAATAAAGCTTGTTCAATTTGCTAGGAAACTCTGTTTCACGGTATTCAAACCAAACTCAAAAAAATTAACTTTCGAATACCATTTCAAGCAAGGTTCACATTTCCTTTGTATAGTGAGCAACTTCAGAAAGGGCCCAGAAAAAAACTGACTTATATGTTCGCTCTCAGATGGCAATGTTGATAATCAATCATATTTTCATGCGTGTAACATTTTTTGCAAAGAAACCGAAAACCTTGCAGTCGGTCATCGACTATTCAAAGGAAGATTTAAAAAAAATCAACTTTCGGATCCCAATTCGAGCATGGCGAGGTCACATTTTCCTCAAAGTGAGCAACTTCAAAAAGGGCCCGCCAGAAAAGAAAAAAAAAAACCCCGCGATTGCCGCTCTCAGATGTTGTCGAATCGTAGGTATTCATTCATGCAAAAAACATTCATTCACAATAAGGAAAACGGAAACCTTGCAGTCGGTCATCGGCTTTGCGGGTCCCACGTATACAAGGGGTCTTGACAAAAGTTTGTGTGATAATTCAAAAGATGTCAAAATTTCAAATCACTCATTTATTCGAAATCTCTCTCTTCCAGCACAAGACAACATGTTTCAGATCTGTTCAACAATTTGTTTTTGACAAATTGTTTTAATGTTTTGCAAAATGCACCCTAGCAGAGGTTTGCTCTCCACTCAAAAGATGAAACAGATTTTTTTTTTGTAGCCCAGCTTTCCCCTCAGAATTTTTGAAATCAACCTGGCATCAATTCCAAGGGTTGCCTCCAGGTCTTCCAAGGTATAATTCCGCCATTTTCATCAACAGCCGCCTTCACAGCCGCCAAAGTGGTGGCCAATCTGGCGGCTGTGAAGACGGCTGAAAATGGCGGAATTGCCTTGGAAGATCTGGAGGCAACCCTTGGAATTTATGCCAGGTTGATTTCAAAAATTCTGAGGGGAAAACTGGGCTACAAAAAAATCTGCCTCATCTTTTGAGTGGAGAGCAAAACTCGGCTAGGGTGAATTTTGCAAAACATTAAAACAAATTGTCAAAAACAAATTGTTGAACAGACCTGAAGCATATTGTCTTGCATGTGCTGGAAGAGAAAGATTTCGAATAAATGGATGATTTGAAATTTTGACATCTTTTGAACTATCGCACAAACTTTTGTCAAGACCCTCGTATACTGCATAGGAGAACCCGCCGATGGCGTGGCGAATTGCTGCCTTGCCGGGCTCCGGGGCTTATTGCCGATCCCGGCTTGAAGTCGGGTGCTCTGAACCTCCTTCGCAGGTTGGAGGCAGGTATGCATGTTACGTAACGAAACCAGCCGAGGCGGAAAAGAAATAAACAAAAGCACAACCCGGAGAACTGAGGCCGACTTGTTGACGCTGGTGATGAGGAGCAGAGGCCGAGTAGGACGAGGAGTTCCGTAGTGGAAAGGCAAAATACCGTATATGTGCGTGAATTGAAGCCAATCTCTATATACGAGTACATATATTTTATATACACTCGTATCTATCGATATATATTTCATGGTGACAATTTCGAAATGAGAGACTCAATTGCAAATCGTGGAAGAATAATCGCGTGATGATTCAGTGCTAAACTTTATTCCCCTGTTTCGATGAATCCGGCGAATTTGTTTCCTCTTTAATTGCAGCTATATAGTGATTATGTGAAAGAGAATTCCATGCCGAAATCGTGTTTCATTCAACCTGTGCCCATTCTATTTGTGCTTTTTTTTTTTACGTGTTGTGCGCTGCGATTCTTTTTTCTATAAAACCTTAATTTCCTTTCATCGTGGAAATCTGAACACGTTTTCGCAATGATATCGTACTGTGTTCCGGTTCGATCAACAGTCACTGTTTCCGTATTTCCGGGACTTCTAATTTTCTCGTGACAGATTCGGTGCTTTTTTTTTGGCGTGTGAAAACGAACGATAGGATTTAATTTTGCTCGACCGTTTTGTTTTGTTTTTCTTTTTTTAAGGCAGACAATAATATCGTGGTGATTATGCGCATTTCCTCGTTTCAGTGAAAGAAAGTTTCGCTGTTGGTGTTTTTAATTACAGTACTTTACGATGAGGGACAAGAGAAGTGTATCCGAAGTGATCGACGACAATGAGCACACCCTGGTGTTTTTCGTCAACGGATTCAAAGTAAGTCCTTCTACTTCATCATTTGCTATATAATTGCATAAATGTGGAGCTCGAATCTTAAATGCGAGAACATTTTTTAATGCTCAAGCCAGAATCGGAATTGAAAATTTAAATAAAAAAGGTTCAAATTCCTTGAGCAAACCTGTCTCGTAATTCGATTCCGAAAGCAAGAAAAACCGTGCAAACGCATATGGAGCAGAAAATTTAGTCCTGCAAGCTGTGCCAAAATAATGGACAAATTCTAAAGTTAATGCGTCTCCTGAGCAGTTTGAACTTCAATTTTTAAAAGTTGAACGAGGAGCCATCGTTTCATTATTGGAAACGATGTCTTCCATCAAGGACGTGTGGAACTGGGACAAGACGGTATTACCTTTGGGAAAACGAATTTTCGAACGATCATCGATAAATCCGTCTTAGGAATAGCAATAATTGTTACGTAGTATGTTGCTTGAAAATCAATTGTAGGTGCGTGGAACTCGGACAACCTTTGAGACAATAATCTCATCAACATTTTCTTTTAGAAATCAGGTGGCAACTTTGAGGCATACAGGGTTTTTTTTGTCACTCGTATCAATGCTGCTAAAACCATAAAATATGACACATGCACAAAATGTCAGTGTTCGGCGGAAGTTTCTAATATATGTGGCGAAATCGGCCAATTTTTTTTGCTCAGCCAAACAAATTCATTGCGTGCTTCCTTGAACCGAAGTCCCGATAATATTGTCAATCGAAAATTTTAAAGTTATGATAATGCCGCATCTGAACACGAAACTATCATTTTATTTATTGTCCCGTGGATGAACAGATCGTTGACGCCGACTTTGACCCATCTTGGACTCTAATCGAGTACCTCAGACAGAAACGTGAGTGAAGTACAAGCCTCATCCTGGCTTCAATTTTAAATTTTTTAATAATTGTTTTTCTTCAAATTTGTGCTTATTTCCTGTTTGATAGTTCATTTATCCGGGACGAAGTATGGTTGCGGGGAAGGAGGTTGCGGTGCTTGTACCGTCATGGTGTCCAAATATTCCTTGGACTCCAAAAAAGTCTCGTATCCTTTTCCATTTATGAGACACGGACATTCTCTCTGATTCAATGCTGAAGACGTGACTTGTTAACATGTGAACGTGCTTCAATTTTTTCAACAGCGGCCTTCTTTTCCTGCCAAAATGGTGGAACCTTGTTTCAGAAAGAAGGCTTTATTCCTTGCTTTAAACCAGTCTGATTTGAAAGTAAAATTTTAGCACCTATATATAGTCATTGTTATGTGGGTTGCTGCTTGTCAAAATCGGATTTTTTGTCCAATTTTCACTCACCAAAACATGAAATTTCCAAGGTGAAAGAGTGATGGAAAAGCCTCACTTCAAAAACAGACTGGAATAATTAATCAAGGAACTGTATACAAATTTAGTTCGAGGAATGAAATGAAGAAAGTAAATACAGAGGATATTTTATATGATAAATAAAATTTGGGGTTCCACGATTTTTATAAAAAAAAATTGCCTAAAATTCGGCCCCAAAATCTTATTTGGACTTGTTGGTAGTCAGCAGCACATATGCGGTATATTTTGCATCCAGCAATTTTTTGTTTAGATTTTCATGGAACAGCAAAATCCAAGTATACTGTATTGTCACATTTTTTCGAGAATCAGTATACCTGTAGTGTTGAATTTTTATTTATTTTGTAAAGACGCGGCAAACTGCTAATATTTTTGTCTTTGAAACGATCGATGAACAAAAAAAAAAGTGTCTTGGCTCATATAATCCTTGACTCGGTGGTTCCTGTCAAATATTGCCATTTCCGAAACAATGCAGACACCTGAGTGTGAATGCGTGTCTAACCCCGCTGCCCTGGGTTCACGGGCACGCCATCACAACGGTCGAAGGCATAGGTTCCACCAAGACCAAGATGCACGCGGTTCAGGAGAGATTGGCCAAAAGCCACGGGTCTCAATGCGGTTTTTGCACGCCGGGTTTCGTCATGTCCATGTACACGCTGCTGAGGAACAAGCCTTTGCCAACAATGGACGACATTGAGGAATATTTCCAGGGTCAGTTACTCGTATTTACAATACAGTGAGACTACCCCAAGATGTGGACATAATTGGTGCATCAAGACTTTAAAAGTGTCCCTAAGTAGAGTCTCATTTTCCCTTAGACTTACATTGTTTAACTTTTAATTGGTGTTTTATGGAAAAAATACTCATCAGAATTCCATTTAAAAAATGTGTCTCCAAATTGAAAATGATTCAATCAATATCTTTCAACACAATATGGACATTAGGAGAATAGAAGACTGATACCCCTGTACAGTACATAGAAATGTTGTCATTATCTGTAAAAATAACATTCAAGTGAAAAAGAGAGAAGGAAGCCCCTTTATGCTGGAGGTAGTTTTCTTTAAATTAGCTAAATGGATGGTAAATTGATGAGAGAAATGCCAAAGAACTTTTCTTACATCAATTTTAGGGTTGGAAATATCTGTGTCTTGTAATTTGGCCTGAAACTAATTTGTAATTTTATCACACAATGTCCATACGTTGAGTCAGTGTTCACATGTGGGGCCTTTATTAATGTTGTAGGAGAAACTATAAGTGTGCCTATGTTGAATTGTCTGCATGTCAAGGTGTCAGAATGTGGGGGTCTCACTGTATTAAACATCTTTTTATTTTTAATATTCCAACATAAAAATTCCGCATTTCAGAACCTCGCACAAATTTTTTTTGCCTTAACAAATAAGCCTGAAAAGTGGATTGCGTGTCTCATATCCTTGAGTGTGAATTAATTTTCACATTTTGTAATATTTTCCATTTACTATGCTCTTCTGTAAAGACGATCAGTGAAGCATAAAGAAATACTTTTTCATGGATTAGAATGAGTAAATATATTTCTTTGAATGCCTTGACTTTCAAGATTCTTTCAAAATTTTAAATAATGAGACACTCAATTCTTGTACTGTACCTTCCTGGCTTCCTCAAAATCTGCCGGAATTTTTCTTTTCGAAGCCAAAATAACTTCGTGAATTTTTATTATTGCTGAATTCTTTTAATTGATGACGAATCTCATCGAATTTCATTTTCCTCAGGGAACTTGTGTCGTTGCACGGGTTATAGAGCGATTCTCGAAGGATACCAGACATTCACGAATGATGACGTCAAGAATGGGATTAATGGCGGTGGTTGTGGAGGATGCTCAAATGGCGGCGGTTGTTGCAAAAATAAAGGAACCGCTAATGGCAGCGTTGCCAACGGGGAGAAGGTCGAAAATGGTTTCGCTTCCGAAAGTAATGGAACAAACATGTTGGTCGACGTTTCGAAATTTGTTCCTTATGATCCAACTCAGGAGCCAATTTTTCCGCCGGAATTAGAGGTGAGTTTATTCCACAAAATTAATGAGAAAGTCGGTGTTTGTAAGACTTTGTGCAAGAAAAAACTCGGGTGAAAATTTAAACGCATATTCTTTTGTGACTTGCGTGTCCAAGAAATTACAGTGCGAGGCATTTTCGAAAATTCGAAACCAGCCTTTATTCATGTGTTTTTTTTTAGAGAGAGAGAGAAATCCAAATATTATTGTCAGGGTTTTTGTTTAGTTTTTGCGTCACCTCTTCATTTTATGAAAGCCACGTGATTGAATTTCGAAATAAGCTCGCGGATTTTTAATAGACGTTCATCAACAATTCCTAGTGATTTTTTTTTTCTTGAAAATTTTATTGGGAATTTGAACGAATTTTCAAGGTGAATAAGTCTTTTATCTAATTACATTTTTAAAATTCCCGCAACTGAATATTGCATCCCATGAATTAAGCCAATATCGGGATTTCGTCGCATGCTTCGAGTCGATTCCCAAATTTTCGTAAAATTTGGAATTCTGTGAAATCTACCTAAATTTACGCTTTTTTTTAATTCTGAAGATGAATGCTGATGCATTGCAAGGACGAAGTGTTTCTTTCCACGGCAAAACACTTTCTTGGTACAGGCCCGTGACTCTAGCGGAAATTTTGGAACTGAAAGAAAAATTTCCGGAAGCGAAGATCATCGGAGGGAACACTGAAGTTGGCAAGTATAATTTCTCCTGGCGCCCTTTTCAACAAAGTTTATCTACTTTTTTACTCCAATTAACCGGGAATTATTTATATTTTTTATTGAATTATCAGGGCTGGAAGTGAGACAAAAAGGGAATGAATATCCGGTGCTGATCAGTTCAGAAGCGATCAAAGAACTTCATGTGCTCCAAGTTGTGGTTCTTGATGATGGCTCAAGAGCTGTTCGCATTGGAGCTGCTGCCACTTTGTCGAAACTCGAGGATTATCTCAGAACAATTGTCGCACAAAACAAAGGTTTTTATTTTTTTTAAACACACAAAAAAAAATATTTCCAAGATTTTTATACTTCAATTGCACAAATATTCCAGAGTACGAGACGTCTACTTTCAAAACAATCCTCGAAATGCTGGAGTGGTTCGCTGGGAAACAAATTCGCAATGTTGCGGTAAAATGTTTCAAGCGTCTAAAATTGAATTATTAGAAATAATCTTGTTGTTTTTGGAATTCGTTAATAGGCCTTGGGAGGAAATATCGTCACTTCAAGTCCCATTTCGGATTTAAATCCGATCCTGATGGCTGGGCAAGCGAAAGTCTTCCTTTCATCGCTTCAGCAAGGTATTATGATATATTTTATCGTCGGTTCAGCGAACAAAATTAATTGAGTCTTTCGTGCTGAGGGTTTCTCAAAAGTGTTCAGTATCACCCAAAATCATTGCTGGTGGATGAAGCCTAACTAATATATTCATTAATTTAAAAATAATAATGAGAGACTCTTCAGAAAAGGAGACTTCCGTTCATTTTCTAGTGCCTCTAGTTTAAAAAAGCACTCAAAAATAGTTTTGAAAAAAACCTGTCGGGAACAGACTTTACTTTACGATTGGTGATATAGTAGTCAACTTTTTTTAATGGTAGCAAATTAGGTCAAGTTTTTTTCTCTTAATGAAGGCCGCCAAAAAAATTTGGCTTTTATTCTGAATCTGAGTGCAGCTCTTGAAGAAATTTTGCTGGGAATCCTTGGAGCAGTTGTAGCGAAGTTTAAGGGAAAATCGCAGACCAAATTGGAAATTCATTGCCAATTTAAAACGGATGGAAAAGCATTTACGGTATATTTTCGAGTTAGCCTACTGCTGGAACTCATGAAAGTCCTGCTCAAAAACCTCGAAATTTCCACACACAAAAAATAAAAGGCTTCACAAACCGTTTTTAATCCTATCCCACTACTCAATATTTTTTTATGGGTTCCATTTTTTTTTAATCATTGAAGATTGAGAACAATTTGACTTACATGTCTGTATAGTGGAAAGCAGTCGTGGTGAAATTCACAGTATAATGTACAGTATATATTTCTTTGATTCATAGGGAATCGACTGGATTCGTGCCTCGAATTGAGCGAGGGATTTTTCCTGGGCTACCGGAAAAACGCTCTGAAGCCGACTGATGTTTTAATTCACATTGACATTCCAATGACAAAGAAAGATGATTTCATCACTGGTTACAAACAAGCTAGACGTCGTGACGACGATATAGCCATTGTCAACGCAGGACTACGAGTGACTTTCGAGAATTCCGAATCCGAATCAGAAGCAGTTGTCAAAGAAGCATGTTTCGCTTTTGGAGGAATGGCTGAGAGAAGTGTGAGGGCTTACAAAACCGAGTCTGCGATCATTGGAAGGTTCGTGATATTTTTTTTGAACATTTTTATTGCTTTCTCCCTTCTAAATCACTGTGTTTTGTTCAAAAATTATTGAGCCTAATCAACTACAAAAGAAAGTAAAATAAAAAAATCCGGGCATCACCATGCAACCTATTATTTATCACCAAAAGTAAACTCTATGTAAAATGCGGGGTTTTTTTCGAACAAATTGAACCCTTTTTTGTACTGTTTTTGAGTCGCTCAAATGGTTTGAGCAACAGAACAGCTCTTTTCGTAAAAATAACCTCCAGCAGAGACATATTCAACAAATTCGTTATAGTGAAAAATTGTTAAAACAATTGGATTGCTGTATAAGTTAGTTTTTTTCTTAAATCGGGGATACCAATCTTAAAATTTGACTGTTTCGTGGCCACATCACATCATCATATGAAGCAAAATAACAAAAGATTTTTGAGCAGGATACGGCAAAAACTTTGCTACAAAAGAAGCAAAAAACTTTCCAGAGTAAAGAAAATTATATTTACCTAATTTAATTAAAGCCGAATTTTCTTCGGAGTAAAATTCCTTCAATGGAGCAGCAAGTAATTATTCGGAATTTCCACGTTAAAAATGTAGGAAAATTTTGATAATTGTAAAGGAAACGCTGTTTTTGTCGAATCCAGCTTACATATGCGGACTTCTCGTAAACAATGAATTGAGTAAATTCAGAAATTATCCATGTTTCCCATTTTATTTAAATGCAGAAAATGGACAGAAGCTACGCTTGAACTGGCTTGTGACAAACTTGCCGAAGATCTTCCGGTTGCCTTCGGCGCTCCTGGGGGCAAGGAAAAATATCGACGAACTTTGGCTCTGAGGTACTGTATACATATATATGAGTAAATATTCTAAATCATATTCCGTGAAGGCATCAAAAGAAAACCAACTGTTTTTTCTTTTATTCTTCAGTTTTTTATACAAATTTTGGACAGCGGTCAGAGACCAACTCCTGCATCGTAGTCCGGAAGACGTTTCGCGAAAAATAACTCTTCAGCGGGAATTGGATCTAAGTGCGATTGAACCGTATCGCCGTGGGAAATTTAGTGCCTCTCAAGTTTGGCAAATGGTAAATAATTTTCGGTTTTATGTATTTTTTGTGAATGCATAACGGTTTCACTGTGTGGAACTCATTAAGTCACAGCACAGCACAATCTCAAACTCCAGCACCCACCTTTGGTCCATATATCTTTCAAAGAAAATACGTGCTTTGTGAGACTCTGGTGCTCACTTAAAGGCCGGTTCATTAGCATTTATTTCTCATGTCGTTTCTTCATTTTTTTCAGAAATGCATAGATTTTTATTCAGTTGATCCTTGGAAAATGAAACGATCATTTTTGCATTTTTCTGGCGATTTTCAAGGCATTTTTTGAGGAAACCCAAGAACGATGCTGCTGTAAAATTTAGGGAATCTTACATATGTTATAAATATAAAAAATACATGTATTGAGAGAAAAATGTTATAAGATCTTTTAGCTTTCATATTATTTTTCACAATTTTCTCACATTTACGGGATTTTGCCAACGTGACAAGAAAAATAGTTGCGGTGAAGGTAAAAGTTATTTTCTTCAGAGAATACTGATCATATAATCGCATTATTTCCAAGTTGAAAAATGGTTGTTGTTAGTCAGAAAGGAGAGGACAAATAAGTGCCATTCTCTGGGATATATTCTTGCTTCTGTTGGATGAGTTGTGAATTAATAATCACCTGAAACTACCAAATATTTTCAATTTTCTTTCCGAAGCGCCAAACACTTGTTGGAATCAAATCAAGATTGTCCCACGTTTTCTTAATTTTTCAATCATCATTTTGACACGAATCAAGTAATCGCGTGTTCAACGCCTTCCGAAATATCCTTCGTCTTTCTCGTGATATCACTCTGTATATTCAATGCAAAATTGAAATTAATTTTCGCATGAAAGGTGCCAGATGGTCAGCCAGCCAGAGATCCAGTCGGTCGTCCTCTCGTGGTCCAATCCGCATTTCAGCAATGCACCGGAGAAGCCAAATTTCTCGACGACATGCCGAAATTCTCCGAACAACTGTACATGTATCCAGTGTTGAGCACCAGGGCTAAGGCGAAAATAGTGTCGATTGATACGTCGGAAGCCATGAAGCTCGACGGTGTCGTGGGGATCGTCACTGAAGAAGACGTGCCTTCGAAGAAAAACGTCTGGGGCATTTTCGACGACGATCAAATCTTCTTCACTCATGAGGTGAAATTTCTTCTGGAAAATTCTGTAAATAATTACAATGTGGCGTAGTTTTGAAGTATAAACGGCTTTATATTTGTGTGCATCAAGGAAACAATTCACGATGTGTACCAAAAGGGATGGTTGAAAAGTTTCGCCACATCCTTCAAATATTTATTTTTCATTTCCCCTTTGTAATGAAATTTTACGACGACCTCATCATCATTCAGCAAATTTCAATATCCGAACTGGGTCATTATTGTGAAGATGAATATTTTTGAGTATTTGGAAACCCATATACTTATTGACCGCATGATTTATGATAAATTTGAATTAAGAAAGTGGAACTCATTTCCCTAGTTACACTCGCTTTGTCCAACGCGTGTCCTCGGAAGTTCGATCAGTGATCGGAACAGTAACAAATTTCACAGAAAATAAACATTTTTATTCTATCATTCTAAAAGAATAAAACGAGGAAAACACAAGGCTGACAAAACGCGGAAGAAGAAACACTTGTGCAAAATATTACTGGCGGTTTATTCGGTCGGATTTTCGGATTTTTTTCTGGCTCATATGAATGAATGAATGAACAGAACACTTTACTTGCCGCTTTTCAGCGTTCACAAGGTTCAATCAAGATTTATCCAATCCGCATTTCAGCAATGCACCGGAGAAGCCAAATTTCTCGACGACATGCCGAAATTCTCCGAACAACTGTACATGTATCCAGTGTTGAGCACCAGGGCTAAGGCGAAAATAGTGTCGATTGACACGTCGGAAGCCATGAAACTCGACGGTGTCGTGGGGATCGTCACTGAAGAAGACGTGCCTTCGAAGAAAAACGTCTGGGGCATTTTCGACGACGATCAAATCTTTTTCACTCACGAGGTGAAATTTCTTCTGGAAAATTTTGGAAATAATTACAATGTGGCGTAGTTTTGAAGTATAAACAACTTTATATTTGTGTGCAGCAAGGAATCAATTCACGATGTTGGCAGAAGGGATGGTTGAAAAGTTTCGCCAGATTATTCAAATATTTTTTTAATTATTTCCCCTTCGTAATGAAATTTTAAGACGATGGACCTCATCATCATTCAGCATATAAAAAATGTCAATATCCGATCTGGGTCATTATATGAAGATGAATGTTTTTGAATATTTGGAAGCCCTGGCATACTCGATCCGACGCATGATTTATTAAAAATGTACATTAAAAAAGTGAAACTCATTTCCCTATAGTTCTACTCTCTTTGTGCAACGCGTGTCAATGATCAGAACAGTATCAAATTTCACAGATTAAACATTTTCATTTTCTCATTTCAAAAGAATGAAACTAGGAAACCACAAGGCTGAAAAAAACGCGGAATAAGAAACACTTGTGCAAAATATTACTGGCGATTTATTCGGTCGGATTTTTTCAGGCTCATAAGTACAAGCTGGTTAATCATTTGCTAATACGTACTGTACTGTATATTTAATAATTATTCATTGAATACTAATGATAACCAATTTTTTCAACTATTTTTCCCCTCTTAGGTTTCAGCTCAGGGTCAAGTAATTGCAGCAATGGTGGCAACTGATCGGGAAACTGCTAGAATCGCAGCCCGAAAAGTTCGAGTTTCCTACGAGGACATCGGAGAGGCCATCGTTTCCATGGAGGTCATTTCATTTTTCAATTCTCTTTCGTGAGCTTTATTCAAAAAAGGGAACTTTGTGCGATTTTTAAAATTTTAATTTTATATAGGAAGCCGTTGAGCACAATAGCTTCTTTACTGACGAAGAAGTGTCGAACGGTGACGTGGAATCAGTGTTTGCAACGGCGAGTCACGTGGTGGAAGGACGAGTTCGAGTCGGTGGCCAGGAACATTTTTACCTCGAATGTCAAGGAGCTTTTGTTATTCCGAAAAACGAACACGGCGAGATGGAAATATTTGCCACGAATCAGGTGAAGAACGTTCACTTTTTTGTTCCTTAAAAACGGGCATCTATATAATTAAGGCATGACGTTCTCTAAAAATAATGAATGCATTTTGTGCGCCTTTTCCGCGGGGGATAACAAAAAAGGAATAAATTGTTCCTGCCTTCAAATGATTCATCTCGGAATCGGGATTCCTCGGCCTAAGGATTTCACATACACTTTTACATCTAATAGATTTATTTTCTTCGGGACAATCAATCGATTAAATCAAGGAACAGGTCATGCAATTTTTTTTAAATTTCCGCCTCCCCCGGAATCGAGTTTAATTCTCATCATCCTGGTAAATACGTAATGGAGAAAATTTATCAAGACTCAAGATCAAGATTTATCAGAAATGGGAAATTGATAACATTGAAATATACTGTACATAATTCTCAATGACAGAAATTTGTAGCTTCTTTTCGATGAGAATCTTTTAAAAGGCACGCGGAACTAGGAAAATCCGCACACGGGAAAAACCCCGCGTGAATCCTCTTCAAACCAGTATGATTTAAGGGTCTTTCGGGTATTTTTCGAATGCTCGTGCTAAGCTTAAAAAAAAAACCACGATCATAAAATCCCAAATAGTTATAAAGAAAGTTGACTGAAGTTCCTTATTTAACACATCATACATCATCGTGATAAATTCCATTTTGTACTTGATATCGGCGTTTGAAAATCGGTTCTCTTTATGCTCCTGAAGATTGTTCATTCAAAGTTTGTTTGCCTGGCCGAATGTGTATAGTCCTCGTTGGTCAAGATTTAATTATGGGTTGCTAATTATTGTATTTATTTAGGATCCGTCTGCTCTTCAAGGATACGTTGCTAAAGCAACTGGTGTTTCATCGAGCCGAATTTTAATCCGGGTCAAACGACTGGGCGGAGGTTTCGGCGGGAAAGAGACAAGAAACAACAGTTTGACAATTCCTGCGGCAGTGGCTGCGGCAAAGTGAGAACATTTAAGGATATTTTTCACAGTTTTCGAGTTGATTTTTAAAACTGTGGACCCACCCTGTAACCGGGAAACCACTGTACAGTATGTATACTGCCAATAATGATCAGTCCCGCAAATGATGACGATGAACTCAAGCTTGAAATAATTCTCGATTGATTGGAATTATTCTCGATTGATTGAAATAATTCTCGATTGATTGAAATAATTCTCGATTGATTGAAATAATTCTCGATTGATTGAAATAATTCTTGATTGATTGAAATAATTCTTGATTGATTGAAATAATTCTCGATTGATTGAAATAATTCTCGATTGATTGATAAAATTCTCGATCGATTGACATAATTCTCGATTGATTGAAATAATTCTCGACTGATTGAAATAATTCTCGATTGATTGGACCTCGGATAATTCAAGTGATATTGGGTATTAGTATGGCTTATTGTAGTGTTCCCCAAACTTTTTGGACCTGCGGACTGGCAAAGTTCCAGAAAACTTTCCGTAGACTTGGCAAATTTCCGAAAATAACTTTCCGTACTCTGCAAATTTCCGAACATTTTCTGCGGACTGGCGAAATTCCCCAGAATTTTGCAGATGCAACATAATTTTGTTTGAAGACGTCACAGCAGATATTTTAAATGTTTTCTGCTTTTTTGCAAAAATTAAGTTAAGAATCAATGAAGCATCTATAGTGAACTATCATCAAAAAATTGGAAAGGTATGCTTGAGAAAGGTTTTTCAGACTGGAAAATGAATGGAATTTTTTTCAGCTCCCGGAAATTTGTCTGAAGAGTTATCAGGAGAAAATCTAACTTGAATTTTTCACCGGTTAATTTCACGTACCATTCTCATTCCAAAATTTTAGACAAAGATAACGGACTCAATTGCTAATTTTGATGAATGCACAGTATTATGCTAATAAAATTTCCCGCACACCGACAAAAAAACTTTTGCGGACCGGCGCCGGTCCGCGGACCACGCGTTGGGGACCACTAGCTTATTGGAATCAAAGTTTTGTGCAAATTAAAATTTTGAAGGTTCGGGAAGCCAATCTTCACCTTTTTGGAGCGATTTGACGACATCAGGATGTCGGGACAACGTCACGGATTCCTTGGGGTTTACAAACTCGCAGCTGACAGCAATGGAAAATTGCTGGGACTGGATTTGAACTTGTTTTCGAATGCTGGCTACAGTCAAGATTTATCTCCCTTTGTGAGTAAATATGCTGATGAATAATTGATGATTTCTTATCAGCATGGAAGAAGTTTATATTTCTAGCACAAATCGTAAAAAAAAAAGAGCGGGAAACAATCGCTATAAACAACTGAATAATTTAATCACACGCAGTTTATTTTAGAGGGATTCAAACACCATTAACAAATGTCTGCGTTCTTGCCTGGAAATGTGAGCTTCTGTGAGAGGAAATTTGTTTTACTGCACTTCAAGATAAGCATTTCTTAATATTAGATTAAATAGATGAATGCCTCTGAATATAAGACATACATTTTAACACAGTAGTAAACGAACACTATTTTTTAGAAAATGCTCTGATTGAAGGACTTTCTAGTTCATCAGCATTTGTTGACCTTCCAGAGTGAATTTTCGATGCTTTCTTTCTCAAAAGCATTCCATGTTTTCTTGAATCAGTTTGCAGATGAGCCTCAGTAACCTCAATCTTCTAAAAATTTTAAAATAAATCCCTGACTGGAAAAAAAGCCATCGCCCTGCATTTTCAATGTAAAATCACGAATTACTGAATATTTCTTCATTTATTTGAAACTTAATATCAGGCCGATTTTGAGGCCTGCTGTGGTCCAATAACTTTGAAGAAAAAAAACCGTAAGAGGCAGATGTTCTCAAGGACATACTTCCGAATCTATTTTTCAAATACAATTTGGAGGAAGATTTCTTCGAAAAATTAAATTTCAAGCCGTTTCCAACTTGTGGCCCTTACTTTTTTGAACCAAACACATAGAGTACATAGTTCCTGCGCAAGTGTCAATTTCTCGTGCTTTTTCTTATTCCTAAATTGTATTTAAATTTCTTGTTCGGAACGAGTCTCATCTTTAACTGCAGTGTCATTTTTTGGGGGAATGCTCAACAGGAAAAATTTAATTTGAAATGTGTGAATCTCAATTATTCAGCAGAGCTCGGATTGAAAATGACCCTTGAACAGCATCGAATTTATCGTCGAATTCTATGTCATTTTCCCCACATCCCGATTTAATTTCGAGATAATCCCACATTTTTGTTTTTTTTTCAGGTAATGGAGAAATCGATGTTGGATTGCACCAATGCCTATGAAATCCCTGTCGTTCGAGTTCGTGGCAGAGTTTGCAGAACGAACTTGCCTTCAAATACGGCCTTTCGAGGCTTTGGTGCCATGCAAAGCATGATGATCTGTGAGCAGTTCATGTCTCACATGGCCGATGAACTCGGCATTCATCAAACCACGGTATAATAGAAATTAATCCAGCAGGGGCAAGTTCCTGTTCATTCATTTTTTAAATTTTATAATTCGGTCTTCAGAGGATTTAAAACCTTTCGACACGAAACTCATGTTGGAATAAATGTTGTGATCAAGGATCACAAAATAATAAAAATAGAAATGCAGGCAATCAGCCTTTAAGGCCAAGAACACATATTCAAGGGGTTTCCTTGGAATATATGTTCCTAGTTTTTCAATAATTTATTTTATGATTGAGTTGTATGCAAAGAATAAAAATACAATGCACAAGACGGATTTGAATAATAGCACAGGAGTAACAGATTTGTGCACACAAATCACCAGGAATAAAAGGATAATTGTTGTTTAGAGTTTTGGACAGACTGAGATGCTTAAAATTGAATTATTTGTACTTTTGATTGAGGAGGAAACCTTCATTGGTTTCCTCTCTCGTTTTCTCCTCAACAAATGTAATAACAGTTTATTGCGCGGGTTAAGTTATACAGCATAGAAAATTTGATGCAAGAGCATTTTTCTCTCAAGTAATTTTCTACGCATGTTTTACATAGATACCGTATGTTATTTCGACCCCCGCCCACAGTCTATTAATTTCGTGCATTCTTTCCCAATGACGATTTCCCTTCAGAATTTCGATTTGAAAAGTGAGTCTTATTTTCCAGTTCAGAGAAATGAATTTGAAAGCCGAGGGTTGCAAGCTGTTTTACGGTCAAGTTCTGACCAATGTGACGTTGGAGCGATGTTGGAAGGAAGTGCTTGAAAACAGCCAATTCAACGAACGATTTTCCGCCTGCGAAAAATTCAACAGGTATAATAAGTTGTAATTTTTATGCTGTAGCTGTACGTTAAAAACATTAACAGAAATTAACTTGAAAACATCTCGAGTAAACTCAGTGGAAAGAATCAAATTCTTCTGCCGTGAATGTTACGTTTCCGTGCGTTTCAAAAGTATTCAAAATAAATTCCGGAGTTCTCGATTAAAATTTAATTAGTCCCCTAAAACTGAACAAGGTGCTTTCCGAATATTGTGACAGTAGTTGATGAAGTGCTGGTATCACCATCATGCAGTTGTTCATTTTATGGAAATTTTAAGATTAAAGTATTTGATTTTCTTTCTATTGCGATGTCTTTTTTCGACTGTATGTTGAGTTGCGTACTGGACTTCTAATAATAAAGAAGCATTATACAACCCCTTGATCAATAATGCAATATTGTACATATACACATCATATGATCACGTTTTTGAGAAATTCACGTAATCGGTCATTTTATTACACAGGGAAAACAAGTGGCGCAAACGAGCCATTTCCATTATCCCAGAAACCTACGGTATTTCGTTCACGGCGTCGTTCATGAACCAAGGTGGTGCATTGGTGCATATTTACAAGGATGGTTCTGTTCTTGTCACACATGGCGGAGTCGAAATGGGACAAGGACTGCATACCAAAATGATTCAGGTTTTTATTTTGAAAGTCTGGCTATTCTATTTAATCATTCAACTGGGAACGCTTCACAATAAGAAATCAAGTCTGATCGAGGGATGCAGTATCTGGAATCAGCAAAGCTTTTTTTTTTTACTCCCGAAAGCTTTATAACGTTGTTTTCTGGAAAATCGGACAGTCATTTACGCTTGAATCGCTTACAGGACTTCGAAAAAAAAAAGTTGAATGATTGTAGACGTACTTGGCCGAACCTTACCTAATTCAAGCCGACCTTAACTTCAGTTACAACAATCATACCGAAGCTTTTCCTATACTGTGCCCGGACTGACGGATGGACCATTGAAGTATCGCGAACTTCGGGCGACACCTATACGACATAAAATGAAATCCCACGTTTCTTGTCGGCTGAAGATCCGACTTGACTTCAATACTGAAGAACCACGAATGTTTTATTGTTTTCATGCGTAATAAAACACGCAGGTGGCAAGCAGAGCCTTGAAAATCCCGCCAAAGTACATTCACACCTCAGAAGTGGGTACTGATAAAGTACCAAACACAACGTCAACAGCTGCGTCGTTCAGTACTGACCTCAACGGACCGGCTGTCCAGGTACTTATGCCCTTTTCTTTTATTTTCGGTGCCTTCCGATACTCCTTTAATGCTGTACTAATAATTGAGCAATGTATAATGAGTTTGTACATTTGTGGTATCCTTTATTTGTACAGCAAGCCTGTGAGACGATTTTGAACCGCATGGAGCCTTATATACGCGAGAACCCGAAAGGAAATTGGGAGGGTTGGGTCAAAGCAGCTTATATGGATTGTGTCAGCTTATCGTCAACAGGATATTACTGGTGAGTAATCTTCCAAATGGGCTTTTATCCACTTGATGGAGAATCATTCGAAAATTTCTTTTCGCCAAAATATTGAGATTGCGTCATATAATCTTATTGCGCGCATAATGTTCCTCAGACTTTTATATGGTGGTTGCCTCTCATTTATGACCATCTCGAAAATTAAATGTCGTGTACAATTAGACAATACCCGATATTATGAAAATTTCGAGTATTAAAAGAATGGGCGTCATTATTACTAACATTCTATAGTTTTACAAGTTTCGATGAAATAGTCGAAGAATGGATTTCTTTCCGAGTTCTCTGAGCAGGTGTCGCACCTATTGGATATATGAAGAATGCAGCTTACACAGGAACGATCCATGGTTTTGCTTTCGGATCCGCTGTTGGCTGCGTTTTTTCTACCTGTTGAATGAAAATACTTTTGTAAGTCTTTGTGCATTTTTGAAAACATTTTAAATGGAACCTGCGTAGTAATTCGACGTATGATCG